TTTGTGGTCTGTTAATAGCCCCCCTTGCTGGCAATACCCCACATGGGTGCAGTCCCTCCTTTTTTGCCTGCACCTGATCCTTTGGAACCTACAAGCTGTTATTACCCCAGGCTGTGGCTCTGACTTCTTTCTATGATTCCTCTCCCTAAGAAATTTCTCAGATAATTTCACAGGGATGTGCATGTGAACATGTGCATGCACACACAAACACACACAAAACCCCCATCCTTGCCAGCTCCTCTGCTCTTCAGCCTGCTGGCACATCATGAACACTCTCCCCAGAGGATGTGCTTGGCCTTTCTTTGGCTGTATCCACCATAAGAGATGTTCCATCCTTAATGCAAACACCCAGCACAACTGGGAACTATTTTTAGGGAATTTGGAGTCAGCCCAGAGGGACACACAGGGCTGGGCTGGTGGCAGCTCCGTGGATGTGCAAAGGTCAAGGCATCACTTGAGCAACATCCATGGGGACAGCAGGGACCTCTGGCACTCTGGCACGGGACAAGGACACGATGGACCCCTGCTGCCCTGTGGAGGTGAAATTTCCTGGAGACAATGGTGACTCCACAGCACTTCAGCATCACTTAGAGCAGGCTGAAAGCACCGTTTTGGTTCAGTGCTGGAATGGAAAACATACTGCGAGAAAATACGTCATAGCTGTCACCAAAATGAGATTATCTGGCTGGTTGGTCGGTTGGTTTATTGAAAGAGAAGGTTGTTCTAATAAAAAAGCCAGAAGAATTCATTTTGAGCTGAACCCACATATTTTTTTCAGCTCTGAGCAGGTTATTTCATTTTGGGGCTGTGCAGCCTGTTAGCACTAAATCTTTTTTTTCCTTTCTCTCACCATTTAAAAACTCGTTGATTTTTAAATAAAAAATGCTATTTTGAAACGAAAAGGCAAAACATTTCAGGTCGCAACAAAATGTTTCAGCATTCCTGAAACAAAATGTGTAGCTGTAAAAACGTGGCAGTGAAATGTTTTGACATTTGCAGGATCCTCCCACCCACCCCTTCTTCATCTGTGACTCCCTGCTTTATATGACCTGCTTTTCCAAGTGCTTCAGTTCCTTTTGAAACCACCCTTTTTTAAGGGATTGGCTGTTTTTTGTACATATAGATATAAACAGACACCCCAAAACAAATCCTTCCTGCTTACTGGCTTGACCTCACCTCTTGCTGCACAAACTCACTGCCTCAGTTTCCCTCCTGTAAAAAAGGAGGTGAACCTCCCAGCACTGGGAACAGAGCATGGAGCTGGGAAATGTCAGTGGGATGCCTGGGGCAGAAAACCACCACCCAGCCATGCAGACACACATGTCCCTGCCCCCGGAATGCCTCACCTGCAGAGAGTGTGATGGAGCTCAGCTTCACCCTGTAGAGGTTGCTCCTGACCCGCCAGTGCTGCACCATGGGGTACCCCATGGCCTCGTCGTACTTGATGTCCCCTGCAAAGGCAAAGCAGGAGGGTGACACTGCAGAGCACGCTCTGGGGAGTGCTGAATGCCCCCTCCCACCTTGCTGTGTGCTGCAGGGGTGAGAAATGGGGTGGTGAAGGCCTGGAGAGCTCACTGGTGATGCCCTGGGGTACCTGGAGCAGCACTGGGATGGCTGTGACTGCTCACAGGGATGGGGATGCTGCTGGGATGGACTCACACATCCCCCAGATTATTTCTGGCCCTGGCACAAAGTGGGGGATGATGCCCTTCAGGAGCCACACTGGGGTCCAGGCTGGGAGAAGGGGTCGCCCTCCTGTGCTCCTGTTGTCCCTCCTGTGCTCTGTGCCCCGTTTGCAGCTCGTACCTGTGAGGAGCTGCAGATCAGGGAGGGGCTCTGACAGGACACCACGGCACTGCTCCTCCACGGGCAGGGGGATCACCAGGAGCCCATCAGCCAGCTGGGGGAAGTCCTTGATGAAGTTATTCTCCCTGCAGAGAGAAAAAGACAACTGCAAAGCAACGATGCAGAGCACGGCAGGGCAGCAAGGCCGAGCAGCCCTGGTGGCACCAGGACAGCGGCTCAGGAGGACAGGGGACATCCCCTGGAGCAGGAGATGGGGTGTGCAGCCTCCCCAGCAGCCAGCCTGGCTGTGCAGCCCTCTGAGATGATGCTTAATGAGCTCCCCAGGGACTGCAGCTCCATTAGTGCTCCAGAAACACAGAACTGCTCTCAGCCTGGGGACCCGGCCACTGGGTTTGGCCCAGATTCTCAAAGTGGGCCCTGGAGAGGAGGCAAAGAAAGAGGAATGGCTGCTACACCCCAAAACTGCCCCTTTGCACACCTGCAGCACCTTCATGTGGACAGTGACCAAGCTCTGCTGGGGCTCCCCAAGCACCATCATCACCTCTACGTGTTTCACCCCCCACCAGTGACTCACTCTCCAAAAGGCAGAAAAAGGATATTTTACATACAGACACAAAAACTCCCACTCTGGTGTACAGCTCACAGCACAATTTCACCACACATGCAGGATCTTTTCTAACCTTGGCAGGTAAAACATTGTATAATAGGCCCCTAATGAATTGTTTCTAGAACAAGGGTAGCAGGGAAATGATTTGAAATGGTGAACAGACAGGTCTCTGGGAGACCAGCCTCCCCTGGAAAGGGAAATGCCTCGCGCCTGCGCCGAGGAAACAGGAGGGGGGATTTTAAATATTGATCTTAGAGCCAAAATATAGGCCAGGAGGCTTTGCATCCTCCAGGTGTGGAGACAAAAGGGCAGCAGAGCAGAAGAAAGGGAGGTTCCTGCAAAATCAGGTCAGCCCCAGGAGCTTGGGGGAAGTTCAGACTGGCACAGCCTGCCCCAGCTGCATTTTTTGTAATATATTTTCCTTTAAACAGCTGCTGATTTCACTCACCTACCCTGGTTTTACCCGCTGTAGCCCATCCCTGGGGGGATGATCCATCATCCTGTGGTCATCTCACAACTGGGGACACCCTGGCCCCCTCCATGGGTCCCAGCACAGGGAGATGCTGATTTCAGGGAACACCTTCACTGTTTTGGGGCCAAGATGTGGCCACTGCAACCTGCACCAGAGGTGAGCAGGAAGCCACAGCCCAGTGCAACCAGGCTGGGGATGTTCCCAGCCTCAAGGCAGGACAAGAGCATCTGAAGGTAGGGACATGAGTGGGGCACAGGAACTGTTCAAGGCCACACTGGATGGGGCTTTAGGCAATATGCTCAAAGGTGAGGTGTCCCTGCCTGTCGCAGACATCTTATATGGAAAATCCTTTCCTTAGGATTTTTCTTCCTGAGAAGCTGGGAGGCCTCAGGGACAAAATGTAAACATTGATTATCTGCTGCTGTGGAATGCGACAGGTGCATCTGTGATTGATCCATGCTGGATGTTTCTAATTAATGGCCAATCACAGTCAGCTGGATTGGACAGAGAGCCAAGCCACAAACCTTTGTTATCATTCTTTCCTATTCTATTCTTAGCTAGCCTTCTGATGAAATCCTTTCTTCTATTCTTTTAGTATAGTTTTAATGTAATATATATCATAAAATAATAAATCAAGCCTTCTGAAACATGGAGTCAGATCCTCATCTCTTCCCTCATCCTGGGACCCCTGTGAACACGGTCACACAGGATTATGGCACAGGGCCCCCAGCAGAGCTTTTCCCCCCCTTTTGGGACATTGGGTACAACTGATGGGGCCCACTCCCAAACCCAGCATTTGCTCTCAGGTTTGTGCAGTCACAAGCTACACTGCAACAGGCAGAGCAGCAAATCCTGCACCTCTGGAGAGGACACTGGGCATGGGAAAGAGGAGGACAGGATTTTGTGCTGCACTGAGGACTGCATCCAAGCCCTGCTGCTACCTCAGGAGCAGGTATGGCCTGACAGCTGGCATAGCTGTGGAATGCTCAGATGTCCCCACGCTGGTGACTGCTCCTGACTGCATTGCCTGGAGCAAGGATTCGCATTGCTAAGGCAATGTCAAGCTGATTTAGTCCTTGGATGGGGAATCTCCATCAACCAGTGCTTGCACTAGCAAGGAAGAGCAGTGAGGGGCTGCTGGATGTCAGCCTTGTCCCTGGAGGTGACACTGAAGGGGCCCCATGGTGTGAGCAGCACAAACACACAGCCCAGCTAATGGGGACCAGCACAGCGCCCATATGGTGATGGAAAAATGCTGCTATCACACCCTAAAGTCACAATTTACTGCTTCAAACCCTCCTGTCTCACTCTCCCCTTGCTTTTCAGCTGAGTATAATCTGTATTTTCATGTGTCCTGAGTGGGCACAGAGCTCCCATGGCCCAGCTCTTGCGAGATGAGGGAGGAAGAAGCAGCAATTCCTCTCTGCAAGGCTGTAAAGCCCATAAGGACCCCCTGGGATGTAAGGTACTCCATAAATCTGAGCTGTTATTATAAAACCAATCTCCACCACATCTCTTAATAATGCAGATTAACTGTGCAGTACCAGCACTATAATTAATATCATAAAAGTCAGAGATGGGAAAGGCCAGTGAGGCCATCCCATGGACTGCTCCTCACAGCACAGGGAAAGGAGAAAACTCCTCAGTGCCACCAGATCCTGGGGCAGCGAAGGTGGGCTTGGCACCATGAAGGGAGCAGTGACAAGAGGAGGTGGCACATGGATCACCATATCTCTGTCAAAGCCAGGACGGGAGCAGAGCACAGCTCTTGTCTCTGCAAGTACCCAGTGCCAACCTCTCATCCCTTCCCTCCTGTGCATACAATCAGGGAATTATTTAGGCTGGAGAAGACCTTTGAGGTGAGTCAAACCATTAATGC